AAAGTTGCTCTCATCAGAAAAGAGGACTTTGGACCACTGAGCAGCAGACCAGTCTGTTTTTCTTTAGCCCAGGTAAGACGCTTCTGACATTGTTTGTTGTTCAGGAGCGGCTTGACAAGAGGAATACGACATTTGAAGCCCATGTCCAGGATCCGTCTGTGTGTGGTGGCTCTTGATGGACTGACTCCAGCCTCAGTCCACTCCTTATGAAGTCCCCAACACTTTTGAATGGCCTTTTCCTGACAATCCTCTCCAGGCTGCGGTCATCCCTGCTGCTTGTGCACCTTTTTCTTCCACACTTTTCCCTTCCACATAACTTTTTATTAATGTGCTTTGATACAGCACTTTGGGAACATCCAACTTCGTTTGCAATTACCTTTTGAGGCTTTCCCTCCTTATGGAGGGTGTCAGTGATGGTTTTCTGCACAACTGTCAGGACAGCAGTCTTTCCCATGATTGTGATTCCTACAAACAGAGATTGAAAGGCTCAGGAACCCTTTGCAGGTGTTATGGCTTAATTAGCTGATTAGAGTGAGACACTTTTAAGCCTAGAATATTGAACTTTTCACAATATTCTAATTTTCTGAGATTGTGGATTTGGGGTTTTCATGAGCTGTAAGCCATAAACATCACAATTATGACAAATCATGGCTTGAATTATCTTGCTTTGCATGTAATGAGTCTATCTCATATATTAGTTTCACCTTTTAAGTTGCATTACTGAAATAAATGAACTTTTGCACCATATTCTAATTTTTTGAGTTTCACCTGTAACTTCTGAGTGCATGGTTCAAAATATTCTCCGATATATCCAATGTTAAAGTATTTTACTCTATTCTGTGTGAGTGAGTCAAATTTAAATATTCTTCCACTTTGGTTGTAATTGTTAGTCCCTCGGGTTCCCTTTAGTGCCAAACATTTAAAGTCCTATCCTATCGTGTGTTATTTTAGGAACTGAAAACAACAGCATTTTCCCATGGGAAAGATTCTTATACTTAATGTTAAAATCTTATTCAAATCCATCCACTCTAACTCTGTTTATAACTTTCCAGAGTTAATATTCTAATCACCCTTTTGCTGTTTATTCCAAAAGAGAGGATTTTTAAAAAGTCTTTAAACTTCTAACTTTTCTAACATATGTTTCACAAAGAATTAAACTCAATTCACCCAAAATCTACTATCAGATTTGAAGATCAGAAGGTTCTTAAGTTAAAAAGTAGTTAAGAAGCCATTTCCAAAAGTGATTAAGAAATTAGCCTTCTGAAACCGATCAAGGATCAATAGTTACATGAAGTTATGTTTAAAAATAAAAATATTGAAACAAAAAATTCTTTAGTAAGTAGAAGGCCATTTTCATATAGAGTTTGCAGGAGTTAGAAATATTTTACACCTATGCAGTTGTCTTCACACACACACACACAATTTCCAATGTGGTTTATTTGAAATTAAAACAAACTTCCGGTATTTTTTTTTTTTTTGAAATGTTGAAACTCTGTAGACCTTCTGGGTCATTAATTCTTCCATATTTGTACAGTCTCCCCTCATGCCTCTCTTTGGTTTTAGATTTGTTATTTTCACACATAACTTTTAATAGGAAATGCAACTTAGCAGCATTGCATCCTAGCAACTACTCAGACTTTTAACACTTGCCATATAGATATATACAACATGAACTAAAAATAACCACTGGTTATTAAGTTTCTCTTTTCTGCTTTCTGTATCTGCAAAAACAGCAATAGTGAAAATTACTCATAAGGAATTGGCCTGGCTCTAAGCAGTGTGTGTGTGTGTGTGTGTGTGTGTGTGTGTGTGTGTGTGTGTGTGTAGAGACTAGAACCCACAATTTCCTGGTTTCTAGCATGATGCCTTAACTACAACACCACCATTCTGAATTTGAAGGACTGGAGGATGGAATTGTGACAATACAGAAATATGCTCAAAATATTATAAAAAAACAAAGGAGAATGATACAAGAAGACTCCAAGTATTTTTCCTTTCGCTTTAACACCAGGATCTGAAGATAATAATGGATCAATAAAAGAAGGAAAAGGCATAGTAAATATAGAAAGCCAAGGTATAATTTACAAGTAAGATGAACTACTGTATTAACTGTGGAAGCTCAGTAGTAAGTAGGTATAACTTAGAGCAGGGGTGTCAAACTTGCGGCATCATATTGTCATGTGACCCATCGCAACTTTTTTCCTTCATTAAACTAAGGGTAGGCGTGGCCAGTGTGTGACACATCTAGTCTGCGGGCCACAAGTTTGACACCCCTGAGTTAGAGAAAAACCTCATTTATTCGTATGAATTTATTTCCATGCACCTGATGAAATTGACTTCAGTTTAGGATTTTATTTTAGTATAATGAATTTGTTATCACATAAAATATCCACAGGTTTGCTATGGGAGGCTAGAATAGCTAACATTCTAGAAATTCAAGTAAGTATGCTTAAAATGTAGTTCAAGAATAATGATGTTTTTTGAAAAGAGATTACTAATGTTGATTGTTTTCTAACATTAGTTAGCTAAGCTTTATGTTAAAAATAGGGATATGTCAATGGGAATTAAATGGAGATTTAATCATTCTGCAGAGATTTAAATTCAATGATCTTATCATGAAATATACAATTATCTCTCGAGAGTGTTGCATGTGATTCAAGAGAAAACTCTATTTTAATATAAATGTTCCAAACTATTATGTTTTCGCTGTTGTATGATATTAAATGTGTGTGATTTTAATGTTATGTAATTACATTGCCTTTCTGTAAATTTCTTTTAATTATTATGCATTTTTGAAATGGTTTTTAATGTGTATTTTTCAGTTTATGTAAATAATAAAAAACAAGAGATACTGTACAAAGAAATTACAATTTATTAATGTCTCCTTCTTCCTGTTTTTAAAGTGCAAAATGTGAATGCTGTTTGCATGCTATATTGATAAAATATTCATTTATTTCTATGTGTGTGTGTGTGTGTGTTGTGTATACACACACACACACATATACATACATACATACATACATGTGAATGGAAGGTGCTGCTTGTTCATGTAGACTACAATATGATAGACAAGAATATTCTGAGATGTAATCCTAATATTACAGAATAACAATGCAGCTTCTTAGTGCTTATTTACCTGTAATTTCTAAGTATGCAGGCTGTGCCCCATTCATGTTTATTTAAACAAAACAAAATCATACTAATTTCAGCAGTATTAGGTATAATGTAGATGAGGTGACAGTGCACTATAATCTTATACATGTTGATGATCACTTTTCCCCTTCAACAATGGACCCATCCTCTCAGATGAACAGGCCATATTTTCTAGTAAAAAGAAATGTAGCATAGTTGATGCTAGTAAAGCTGCCTTCTCCCTAGAGACAAGGTGGATTCTTGAAGAATACACATCCATGAACACATATCCATGTAGTCCTTTTGGCAACAATAGCAAAGTGGATAAGCAGGCTTGAAATTTCAGTAGCTGTTAGACAGCTATTTATATGTTTATCAAGGTGCTGTAGTAAGTGAAAACTATATTGGCCTTTATTAGAGAGAACTGTCCTTGTTCTAAAAACCAAACAAGGCAAAATAGCATTAGAAAAGTGTGTCTTTTCTCTTTTATGATTTCCACTTGTTGCAAGATATGTTGTATCCAGAAGAGGTTGCACCCACAAATTACCAGAATACCTTTTCCTCTTTAATATCAATCTAATAAAGAATGGCTGACTTCCTATTGAGGTTTCTTCATCAATAATAGCTACTAAATGCAAACTAATCTGATTACATCTCAATGTGATGTGAACATTAACTCCTATTTATAGGTGAGATTCACAGCACACTAAACCATGGTTTTTCCAAGGTGTATCAAATATTCATATTATGCAAATCAATTAAAAAGATAACATGGGAACAGTAATCCTTACGAACTGCTTTGCAACCTGTAGATCTGAACAACTGCTAGAATATAAGAGGAAAATCTGTATCAGGGATGTCAAACTCACGGCCCACAGGCCGGATGCGTCATGCACTGCCCATGCCCATTCCTGGTTTAATGAAGGGGAAAAAAGTGATATGTCATGTGACGACGTGATGCCACCCATCCTATATGAAGCACAACCTGGAGTCATCTTGCCGTTTGTAACAGATAGGCCTCTTCTCTGGTCCATTTTCTCTCACCTGACATTTAAGATCTACCTGTATTTTGTCTTTTAAGAACCTAATGAAGCTTCCTCTGTGCATCCAAGGCTTTGTCAAAAATGGATGATTTTTTTAAAGGTTTTGTATTTTAATTTATTGTTGTTTATTACTGTACTTTAATATTATTTTTTTCAAAAAAATGTGCTTTTCAATATAATTTGTAATCATGCATTTAATAAAAATATGAAGAGGAAATAAATTGCCAGACCTTATGAAAAGGAAAATTCACAATATTACAAGCAGTACTGAAAAATACTGCGGTTTGATTCTAGACTTTTGTGTCAGTGCTCAAAATAGTGACTTCTGCTCTCCTAATATGAACAATGAAGACTTAGTAAAACCCAATATTTCTAGTTGTGATAGAAGTTTCTGTGCGAATATAGGATTTCAGTGATATTAAAGATATAGATGCTAAAACTGAGTACAAATAATGGTAGTATCTCTCCGGAGGGCGAAGAGTCACATAAGTGAACCCCTTTCAATATGAAATAGCCTGTGCGCCAAGCTTGTGAGAAATCATATTGCTTAAGAAACTCTTGCTGTCTACGATCAACAACCAGCTCCTGTTTCAATTCCTAAACCAGCCACTAGAGCTTAAATTTAAAGCATATTATATAGACCGTTCGCAAATGCACTGGTTGGTAAAAAGGGCGGAAGAATAGCGTCAATCCTTTCCCTTGTTTAACCTACCACAGCTAAAGCGCTTAAAATATTAGCGAAACACAGCCAATCCAGTCAAGGTTTGCTTCACTGTACTTGAAATCATACACATAAATCCCCGAAGGGAAAGCGGGCTATTTGCCAGTAATAAGAATGGCGGAGCTAGCGATGTTGGACTAGGTGGAGTGAACGGTTGCTTCGGGGCGTCTTAAGGAGTTAGTGGGAAGAACGTTCCCCGGGATATGCCCGCCTTTCTACGGACGAAATTTTTTTTGCAGATTAAGCTGGTGAGTAAGTGTAGCCCCTCCCAAAAAAGATAGAGTGGGGGTGGGGGAAAGGTTGCGTTCCCCACCGCCTTGATTGTAGCCCTGATCTTTGCAGAGGGATTCAGATTAACACAGCAACCCCACTAAGAACCACCCTTCTCTTGTTGGATGGGGTTTCGTCAGATGTTAGGGTGAGACGGCGTCGCAAAGCCGAGGAAGCGTTTCCGAAGAAACAGCCAAGAGTCAAGTTCTCCGCCTTGCTGCTATTTTAGACGGACTGTGCTTTCCACCTCCCAAAATAGGTGTGAAATATACGGTAGGCCGGATGGATCCGGCTCTCCGTTTTTCTCTGCTCAAGCCGTGCCTAACGCAGACGGAAAGTCACTGCAGGAGCGGTGGGAAGTTTAAGCCCAACGCAGTCCCTTGCAGCTGCAAGATCTTCGCCGCGTATGCACGTCTCAGACGTGCCCTGCAGTTCGAAGCGTCAGAGCCGAGTTTTGTTCTGGCGCAGCTGCATCCCCCTCCCCCCACCCCGGCGGCGATGCAGCGGCAAAAATTGCTGGCGTTTCCAGAGTTTGCTATCTACCGCCGGCCACTGTTTTCCCTTGGGGAGAGAGAGAGAGAGAGAGAAGGCCTGGTTTCCTTCGGGATAGTCCCGTCTTAACACCTCCGAATTGCTAAAGTCAAGCGGAGAAGTTTATAGGATAAAACAGGCGACCCGCAATGCCGCATGACGGGTGCGCGTGGGGATTGCGACGGGAAGTTCTGAACGATTGCCGTGTCTCTCAGCGATGGGGTTGGCTAAGTTCGGGTCTCCCGTTTGCCGCAAAGTATTTGTTGAGCGATTCCAGCTTTCTACATATAGAAACATACTCAAAATGTCACCCTGCCTTAGTGTAAACTCGGTATCAGTAAACTATGGGGTAGAGTTTTGTAAACAAATCTCTCTGTGTTTATTTGGATTTCCGGCTGATTTTTAAAACGATTCCTCCCCCCCCCCCATTAAATTGAAGAACATCTGCTTTAATCAGTCGTTTCATATAAAGATGAAAATAGTAATCGTTTCATATAAAGATGAGAACGGTAGCTGAACGCGTTCAGACAAGGCTTCTTAAACTAAATAATGCAGACATTGGATCCCTAAAATGTGCCTTTATGATGAGAATCAATTCTCAGCACTGCAGTCAATCGTACACCTCTTTTCTGTCCAAGTTTAGCACTTGCGTTTTATAATGTGGAGTTAGTAAATTGTTTTAAGTAGATTGTTTAGTGTTTCTGGATGTAATTGCTGGCTATAACCAGAGTAGGAAGCAAAATTACTGTTAAACACTATGCTAACTCTGTGGTTTACTTTCGTTTTTTCATGTCTCTGTGTTGCCTGGGATAGAGACAGAATGCTATGTGTATGTATTTTGAGAATCAGTGGTGGAAACAGTATGTTAATTATAGTTTTGTTTTCACCTTCCTTTATTCTGGCCAAATGATTATATTTGATCCTATTTGGAGCAAAATAACAATATTACCATTTTTCCAGGGGATGCTTCCCCCCCCCCCACCCCTTTTATGGCAAATCTGTTGTCAGTGTCCTGGGACTACAGTAGTTGGCTTCTGGCAAAATTCTAGAGCAGATAATAAAGCGATCAGTTTATAAACACCTGGACAACAATGCATAGGTTACTAGTGGTCAACGTGGGTTTGTAAAAAAAACAAATATTGCATCCAGTTTTGGTCTCCACAATATAAAAAAAAAAGATGCTGAGACTCTAGAAAGAGTGCAGATAAGAGCAACAAAGATGATTAGGGGACTAGAGGCTAAAACATATAAAGAAAGGTTGCTGGAATTGGGTTTAATGAAAAGGTCTGGGGTGACATGACAGCAGTGTTCCACTATCTCAGAGGTTGCCACAAAGAAGTGGGGGGCAGGTTCAACCATTCTCCAAAGCACCTGAAGGCAGGACAAGAAGCAATGGATGGAAACAAATCAAAGAGGGAAGAAACTTAGAACTAAGGAGAAATTTCCTGACACCTAGAACAATTAATCAGTGGAACAACTTGCCTGCAGAAGTTGTGGGTGATCCAACAAGATTTTTAACCAAATGGTATGGGGTTTCCTGCCTGAGCAGGGTGTTGGACACCTCCAAGATCCCTTCCAAATCCGTTATTCTGTGAAGTCTTGTTAGATTAATCATATCATTTTTTATTCTATTAGTTTTTTTAGTACTGTAGATTCTTGGAATGCTAAAAATGTAGTCCATTTTGATTTCAACAGACATTAGACCAAATACTTCAGATATTCTGATGAATAGATTATTGAAGTATTGTGATGGTATGTGGGAATGACCTTGGAAGACAGAAGGAAGACTGTTGCCTAGACTGGGGATATTCCTAGTGTCTCCCAACATTATTCCCAAATACTAGCATAAATATGATATAATGGAAATTCAGATAATAAAAATGGCTCTAGACCAGTGATGGCTAACCTTTTCCACATTGCATGCCAAAAGTGTCCAAGCATGTGCCCGCTCGCAGGCCTGCACACATGATGCAATGCGTGCATGACTCTCCCCTGCCCCCCTGTGCATGCGTGTGCGACCCCTCGCACTGCACTCCTCTGCATATACGCACGCAATCTCTGCATGCCACATGCCTCTGCGCATGTGCGTGCGTCTTCCATGCACATGTCTCCCCCCGCACACGTGTGGCAGATATCCAACAATCAGCTGTCTGGTGGGGTTGCACACGCATGCACAGTGGGGCTCTTCCAGGCGACCTCTCGTGCCGGCAGAAGTGGCTGTATGTGCCACTTCTGGCATGCGTGCCATAGGATCGCCATCATGGCTCTAGACCATACTTCACTAGTTGATTAATTTACCAGTCTATACATGGTTCAAAAATAGTATCAAAATAATACTTATTAGTTATTATTTCTCACTGAAAGAAACAACCAAACTCAGAGAGTACAAGGACCCCATAATATTATTTCTACAATCTGGAGTGGTGTTAGAGATTCAGCACTGGAAACTCCTAATATTGCTATTAAGGACATGGCAATGAAACAGAGAGGATGCATTTGAAACTTGCAGGTAATATATAATCATATCCTATATAACAACCCTATATAAACCGTAGGGTTGGAAGAAATCTTGGAGGTCTTTTAGTCCAAGCTATGTCCAAGGCAAGAGAGATGATTGGATAATGAATATCTTTGAATGGATTATCAAATTCTTTGAGGCCATAACCTATCACATTAATAGTGTGAACCCATCCCCCATGTCAGGCAGAGGAACTAGGAGTTTGCACCTAAAACATTATCACTATTAGAACTTGCCCCCAGAACTAAAACTTGCTGTTGGTAGTTTCTGAGTGCTACCAAGTAGCCCGGTCAAACTGCTTTTGCTAGTCTTGCCTTCCCTTTTTTTAAATGCGCAACTGACCTGCAAGACAATCCCTTCCTACAAGAAATAGGAAGGATGTAGCACTTGGCCTGCCTGGAATGAGTGCAGAAGCTCAGCATCAGGATCCAGGGCAACGTTCTCCAAGAAGAAGCAGGGAAGAATTACTCTTGAAGAGGGAGAAGATAAGTTGTCAAAAGCACTTGGATCCTGGCTGGGTTGTTTTGGGTAGCACTCAGGAAGCCTCACATATGATCTCTGATGCCAATTCCTTGTCTATGAGCAGAATGGGAGTGGGTTGCAGCCCCCTCCCTCCAGTGCATAGTATGAGAATCTCTACCTTAGAAGGCAGGAAAAAAATTCAGAATTAACTTTCTAGAACTGGATTGTAAATAAATTTATATTGAATAGAGATCTGTGTAATTCTCTTCATTGAAGAAAAATAAATCGTATAACAAATTATAGAATAGGAGACATCTGACATAGTAATACTACACCTGGCATAGTAGTTGAAACTAAATATGGCTCAGTAATATGATTGCTAAAAAGAGGAATGCAAATTTTACATACTTTGTGCTACTTCTGGATCAGTTTTGCCATGACAGCCCTCTTCAAAACGGGTTTATTTCAAGAGCTTAGTTAGCATTTTTCTAATAGGCAAATTTAGCTGGAAATGGAACAGCTGAACTCTGCTTTTGGCAAAGCTGAGGCTTGTGACAATTCATATTTCTGTTGACTTTTTTTGTAAAATAATACCTTTATAATACCAAGTTCTAAGTACAAGCCAACAAAAGTGAAGGTGATTAAAATTTAGGTTCAACCTTATTTTTAATAAATTAGGGCTTGGAAATGGAGAGAAAGCTGTCTAGCATGGAAGAATCATTAGGCTGCATCAAGAGAAGGAGTATTTCCAAATTACAGGGAATTATAATTATATTATAATTGTCATTGGTCATACTCCCCTTCAATTAGTGTCCAATTTTGGGTATCACAGCTTAAGTAGGATTCAGACAAGCTTGAACAGATGCAGAAAAACCTAAGGTAATTAGGGGATCTTATGAGATTGAGGTATCTGGATATTTTTTTCTTTTAAGAAAGTGATTGATTGGGAATCTAATAGCATTTTTCAAACACCTATATGGGTCCCAAAGGTACTTTTTTCAAGAGGCATCTGGACTTTCTGGTTTTACTTTGAAGACGTTTCACTTCTCATTCAAGAAGCTTTTTTAGCTCGGAGTTGAAGAGAAGTGAAACATCTTCAAAAAAAACCCCAGAAAGTCCAGTTGCCTCTTGAAAAAAGCACTTTTGGGACAATCATGACCTGGATGACTGAGAATCTCCATGGGTATTAACGAAGAAGACCTAATCTCTATAATTCCAGGATGTTGAGCACAAAATAGTGGCTTTAAATTGTAGGAGGACAGACCCCAATTGAAAGTTAGAAAAGATTTCCCAACTATAAGGATGGTTTGCAAGTGCAAGCTATTCTCCAGGAAAGGAGCAATTCTTCATTAAAGAAAGCAGAAAAATATCCAAGACAATGGCTATCCAATGGCAGCCAGATTTTATCCCTTCCATGTAACAATTGCAAAGGCAATTGGTAGATTTATTCTCCAATAAATAAATGCTTTGTTTTTTGTGGTTTTCACCTGCGTTTTTCTCAGAGATTACAGAAATGATAGACTTGAGTTTATTTAAAACATCTAGGGTTATTGTTTTTTGTAAAAACGCTAAATAATTTGTTTGCTCAGTGATTTTCCACAGAAAGTATTGATGTAAGTTGGATTCTCCCCAAAATATTTTTCTTGATTCTTGTGTTCAAACCCAGGTATCAGATCAGTAAACTGGTTCCCCTTTTAATCATTAGAAAAATTCTGACTTCTGTAAGGTACGGCATTGGTTGAAGCCACACAAAACAATGTGTACTTGCTAATTGTCTGCATTCTCAATACAACTCCTTTTCTCCAGAAAAAGTATTGACCCCATTCTAAAAAAAAAACACAAGTGCACATCCTAACATGGACTGTAGTAGCAAATATGTAATAGATTATTCCTCAGGAGCTGCTGACTTTGCTTAAATTTTAGCTCCTGTTGCATAATTGTTGAGCAATGGGCAGTTTCTTTGCAATAGGCTTTTGTCTGATCAGGGTGTTCGGATCTCCATGGAATGTCCATATGCAACTTCTTATCGCATTGATTATTCCAATGTGGCCCTAATTCCTTTTTGTTTTGTCTCTTTACCAGAAAGTTATACTGTATAAATAAGCTACAGAGCAGCAGACTGAATAGAGGATTTGTTTATGAGTATCCACAAGAAACAAGGGGAGAAAGTGGCAAAATGATGCAGGTTCTGTCCCTTATGTACTTGTGTACAAAATTGGGGTGCAAGTGCGACAGAGAAGAGCTTTTCTTGTGAAGTCACAATGCCAATGGAAGTAGCACTAAGAAAAAAAGCAGAAAAGTGGCAACACTGGGTGATACCATATGTGGTTGTGTGGGATACATGAAGAGGGGGACGGGACCATAAGCCACTGGTATTTTCCTCTCCTAGGTTGGTTCGGTGGGACTTAGTAGAAAAGGTCATCTTATCCACTAGGATTCAGAAAAGAATATATTGGTTGTGGTAGGAAGAATAAGATGCCTGGTGTTAAAAGAGCTGGCTTGCCCAGCTATTTAAAGGTTATCCTGGTTTTTACAGTGATGCTAGCATACATACTAGTTTTTAGATATACATAGTGCAGATGGAGGAGGCCTGTCTTTTGTTTGAGCTTAGAGGTCCATCTGAGTATTAGATAGGGATCTAGTAGATAGCCCTAGCCTACCTACAGTGAGAGTGGGTAGTTCCAATCAGTGGTTATGACAAAGGATTGTTCCAGAAGATGTTTTTAGATAAATTATCAAAGCAACGCCCTCAAATGAATTGTATGCTGTTCTGGGTTGAGAGTGAAAGTTGCTTTCTAAAAAATTGAACTTACTATATACAGTATATCATCAGTTATTTTAATATGAAAACTTTATGCTGTATTTTTGTGTGCCACTAAACATCTTAAGATCGTAGCAATCTAATAAATAAACACATTATGAACAGTAATATTGATAATATTGACTTCAAAAGCAGACCTTGCACTTGTGGGGAAAAAAAGCTAGGATGCTGATTGATGATGATTACCAATAGTAATATTTACATATTATCATATCTGTATACAGTAGATCAATGTGTGAATTTCAGAGCAAGATTAATTTTCAGAGAAAGGCTGATCATTAACATATGGGCCATGATGGAGATGATGGACAAGAAAAGCCCTTGCCCTTTCCTAATTTGTAGCTTAGAGATACTGTAGGAGATTCTCTCCACGGTTAACTTTTTTTGAAAGAAATTTTGGTTTGGTTTTGGATTGGGTTGGGGCCTTCTTCCTGGCTTTTTATTCCCTAACTAGACTGATGGAGCAAGATAAGCAAATGAAACCTTGATTGATGCTATGCTGCAAGAATCTCAATAAAAATATGAGGTGCATTTCACATGGAAGGCCATTTTGAAGGCATGACAGTGTGAAGGCATCTAAATATAACATAGAAAGCATTGCTAAGGGATGTGGCAAGATCCTTCTTTGTTAAGAACAAAGAAAAAATGCACAGTGATATAAATTCTTCAACTTTTAAGACACTGAATGTATCAGTATTTATATACAGTATTTTATTAATTTATTCTGCTTTCATGTAATTTATTTAATAAAGGGTCTTCCCACAGTGAATCCTGGTTAGCAACATCTTCAAACTATTTTTGAGATTGCGTGTAGAGATTCTTGAATAATGCATATTAACTTTCCTTATCTTTCCTTCCATTATCTAGAGACCTCTCCTTTAGGTCTCTAGATAATATTCCTTTTTCAGCAGTGATAACATTATTGACATTGATAGGGTTTCCAATGGAAGGTGTACATATCTCCATTGTATCTCATTTGTTATTGATAATATTAAAATATTTTCCTAGATACTTTGTTAGCTTGTGAAGTAGAAAGAATTTAAATACTTTATTTCACCTAACCATGTAGATTGCTGTAAAGCACTATGAAGCAGTACATAAGTCTAAATGCTATTGCTATTGCTATTAATTGAATTGTAGCTATTTGTAGTTCCATCTGTAACTATATCGGGATATATATACAGAATTAAACTTTTTTTAAAAAGCTCAGAATTAATTTTATATACCAAGTCAAAAGAGTTGTAGCATGCTTTAGTGCTTAATGTATAGCTAAAGTACAAATTATGATTAGACCTTGATCCACAGTATAAAAATGCAAATTGGGAGAGGAAGCTTCCCAGCTAGACGCTTGATAGCCCAAATCATGCTAAAATATGACATGTTGATGATCTTCTGGCCCCCTTTTTATAACTTCAGGCCTGGCTTAATGATACCACGGATTTAACAAACAAGGTTTGGGTCTGTTTTCAGGAAAAAAAAGAAAGATTAGTTTCTGCATAGATTACTTGTGCAGAGACTTGGATTAGAAATAAAAATAAAAGACAAAACAAATGGCCATTAATGATAGCCAGCTCTATCCCAGCTGGCATTTAAAGCCATTCTTCCTGCACCTAATGAAATCTGGCTTTGTGTTCTGAGGCAGGATTTGGCAGTTTTCCTAGATGTATCAAGAAAATCTGTCAAGTGCCAAGGTGTTCATCATGTTACATTTTACATAACACCTTATTCTAGTCAGTATGCTGGTTTTTTTAACCGTTTAACTAATTATCCTATTTATTTCCTCAGACAGTGTCACAGACATCCATTAACCTACCTCATACCTTATTTGGAAGACAACTTCTCTTAGAGTGGTTCCTGTGGTTTTTGGGGTATGTGCAGTGCCCTGAGTAACCATGGACTCCAAGGAGAAGCATCAGGTAGGTTTTCTGGTCATGCTTATCTACTGTAGGATGACATTTAATGCTTGTTAGTCTTCAGTACTTATTTAATTAGAATTCAGGCCCATCGAGTGTGACATATTAACTTTGGAGGATAAAATAAAGGCATATAATTAGCGGACTTCCGGTGGCATTTCTGTCAAAGACAGACCTGACCGTGATCGTGCGCAGCTTTGATCCATGCTTGCCCTGCTGGAGGGGTCCCTGAGGGACTGAACCATCTGATCCACCTTGTAGAGGTGGGGGGGAAGAGGGGGAGACTGCCAGCTGGGTTGAGGGGAGCCGCATCTCCCCTCCCTGGCTTGGTATCTACTCCCCTAGAAGACAGGGAGAAGCGGCAGTTCAAAGGCTGCCCTGAAGATGGGAAGCTGCGGGACTTAAGTTTTGTGCTGGAGAGTGGAAATGGTGAGTGGCGTGTAACTGGGTAAAAGACTTTGAATACTTAAAAAAAAAAAAAACTGAAAAGCGGAAAGAAAGTGTCCTTGTTTGGAAGAATGGAAGTGGCGAACGGGGAATACGAGGAAAATATAAGGTAAAGGAAATACCGGAAATAAAAGAATTATATGAAATCAGAGATCAAATTTGGATTAATATATAGAATTGGCTATTAATTAGGCATTGAATAAAATGCTGGACTTATTTGGAATGGATAAAATCTAATATTAATACTACAGAAAAGAGAATTAAAAATAAAAGAACTTTGAAAAGAAAGTGATATAGAGCACCACCTAATGGTTAAAGATTTTCCTCTTTTATGTTTTTATGGAAAATTACTGCTCGTATAAATATTTGAAAGAGAGAAGAAATGGAATAAAAGATTGGTAATAAAACAAAAAACCCTTTAAAAAGAGGGGACTACAGTAAAATATAAAGGAATACAATATTTTGGGACTGCTGGAGGTTGACTGTGACAAGAAAACAGAAGAAAGAGAAAGTGAGAGGAGACTTTTTGCAAGGACTATAATAGGAAAATTCGATCTTTAATAAAGAAATGGAAGAAATAAGTAAAGAATTTAAGTTGGAGCTGCAAACTGTGAAAGGTATCTTAAAAGAAAGAATGAAGTTGCTGGACACTATGATTAGTAAAGTAATGGTGTTGCAGCTTGCAGAAGGACAAAGAAAGCATGTATACAATGAATCGGAAGAGGGAAACAACAGCCCAGATGAACATGGAGAACAAGGACTACTGCCAAAGGATATAAAAGGATTTAAAACAGAGACATTAACAACAGAGACAACAAATGAAAGAGATAAGGCTCCCAAGACTAAGAAGAAGAAGAAGGAATTATATAAGAAGAAAACTCCAAAAAGAGAACTGGAAAGGGTGGGGGAAAACATGGCTGACAGGCAGAGGGGAATAAAAATAATACCAGAAGGAAAAAGGAAGAAAGACCGGGGAAATTTAGAAAAGGGAAAGCTAGCTAAAATTAAAGGAAATAATAAAGCCAAAAAATTTAGAGGTAAGGGTTAGGGATTTTATAAGGGGGATACCACATAGGAAATATATATTGGTATTTAGTCTAAAACTTGCTGGGAAGTATTTTAGGATCGTAATATGTATGTATGTATGTATGTGTGTGTGTGTGTGTGTGTGTGTGTATATATATATATATATATATA